ATCATTTTACAAGTAAAGAAACAGGTGAACAACCTTCTGATGGATAAATACTACTTGTTACAATGCTGTTTTTTTTCCTACAAAATATTAACAATCTATATTTGAAAAACTGTAATAGCAGGTGAGGCAGTCGTGATAACAGCTTAGAATTAACCATTAAAAAGGCAGCTCTCCGATCTTTAAAATTTAATTTAGATCGGATTTAATTAATCCGATCTAAATTAAATTAATTGGTAAACATTACTAATAATATTTTTAAATGATCTGCAGTAAATAATGAAGCCATCAGCAAGTCAATATTACATTTTTTTTTCAGTTTTGATAAAGAATTTAATGTTATTAAATGTATGTTAACATGCTAGTACATCAAAGTATGAAGGTGACCATGAGAAATAATTTTTCTCCTGATCTGTGGGTAACTTGAATGCAACGCAGCTTCTTTGAAAACTATTTTTGTTTAGCATCGCTTTAGCTGCAGAAAGAAACCACACAGTAGAACCCCCCATGCTCACTGTCAGTTGTCTCCACAGTCAGCAGCACAGCATCATGGATGTCACAGCTCCGTGCATCAGACTGTGTAAGTGTCTATTTCCACATGAAATATAGGTTCAGCTTATTTATTAATCATTATAGCCACCATTAAATAATAGTAATTATTAAATGCCAAAGATTTAATAATTAATTTGTCTTTACAAATTTGTTGTACAACTTATAAGATGTTAAAATACATTTATCAGCAGCTGTAGGACTCAACAGAATATTTGTAACCCGTGGCTCTTTGGTCTCTTCAGTGATGACTCTCATGATCCTGCTTTGTGCACATGATCAAAAAGTTGGTGAGTGTCATAAGTTTCCTCATTGAACTGAACACTGTTCATGGTTTTGTGTTTGTCGGAGCAGACAATGTATGAATGTATAAATAGTAGGAAAAAAAGTATTTTTAGTGAACATGTAATTTTGCTCAAGTGATGTTTTTTTCATTGTTTAACAAACAATACTTTTATTACAAGTCTGAAACTTTTTTTTCTTTTTCTCAGATGCAGTTTCTCTTCGTATCGCTCCAAACAGATTGCAGTTCTTTGAATATGAATCAGTGATATTTTACTGTGAGGATGCTGTTTATTGGGAA